AGGAAGTTCTTGCTCCCTCTTGGGATGTTCTTGCTCCTAGCAGTGCTGTTTTCTGGTTGTGTCCACCAGCTGAGCCGCCCCAAGGTCAGTGTCCCCTGCTACCCCAGCGCTGGGACCAAGCACATGCCCTCCCTCCAAGGGACATGGACGTGTAGCAGCCCATGATTCAGCCATAGGTCACTGCCCATGTCCTCCAAGGTCATCCTGTGACTCAGAGTCACAATCCTAGACATAGCCACCTCCCTCAGGCCTCCTTTCCAGGACAGAGGCCACTCCAGGTCCCCTCACTGAGTCCTCTGCAGGTCCTAGCAGGATGTGCACCGAGGAGCCTCTATGTAGAAAGGGGGACAGGGTCCCCATGAAGTACCAATGGCTCAGATGCAGGGTGGGGCTGACCATGGAGGAGCGGCCAGAGACCATTGTGCTGCGAAATCCAGGGGCACCTGCACATGTCCACACCGTCCACACCTCCCTAAGTCACTGAGCACAGAGTGCACCACTGTGCTGGGTGGGAGAGCAAGGACCAGCTGCCAAGCCACCTGAACAGGACACGAGCAGGCCTGGGCACAGCAGAGCTGCAGCTAGGACATGACTGGCACCAGGGGTCGGGGAGTCGGAGCGCTTGGAAGCTGAGGCCAAAGGAAGTGCCCTCAGCTGGAGGAAGGTGGCAAGAGGCCTGGAGGGGCAGACCCAGCAGTCAGCAGGGACAGCAGGGGACACCCGGCAAGAGACAGCAGCGAGGACAAGGACAGCCAGGTCCCCAGAGGAGGGAAGAGGCAGGGGTGTGCTGCAGTGCAGGGTGGGTTGGGTGGCAGCAGCGTCTTGACAAAGCTCAGATCGTGCTGTCCTAGGAGGGAGTTTGGATGAGGTGGGCTGCTGGGCACGGTGGCACAGGGATGCAGTGCCCAGTAGACACCCCAAGGCCATGTCCTGCTGATGGTCCAGACCAGGGTCCCCTGGGATGCAGAGCTTGGGCAGAACCCACCCACCCCAGCACCTTCCACTGTGTCTGTCTTCCATTTCAGCCCCCCAGGAAGCCACCACCTCTGCCTGAGCCTGAAATAGTAAGTAGAGGTCTGGGTCCTGGCATCCGCACACACTCAGGGCTGTGCTGTCCTTCCAGAGGGTCCCCATGAAGGCTGTGCCTAGGGTCTCTCACCCACCTGGACCAAGGAGAGGGGAAAGAGAGTCAAGAGGGGACTGGAATAATGAGGTCCCCAGAGAGCAGCCCCGGCTCCACGTCCTGCTGCTGTGGCCTTTGTCATAGGCAGAGCACCTTGGGACCTCTTTCAGCAGTTGTTGTCCCTACGGTGACCTAACTGGTTGTGTGATCCCAAAGGTGCCTCTGGGATCTGAGCTCTCAGGGCTTTGGGAAAGGAGCGCTGAAGCCGTGTACATCCTGGGTGTCTACTGGCTCCTTTGGATTCGTCTTTAACCTTATCTCCTGCAGGGCAGGGCTGGGCTGGGCACAGCCTGAGGGCCACAGGGCTGAGGGTGGAGGGTGTCAGGGGGCTGAGCTGTGAGGGGAACACAGGGATGGTGACAGCCTGGGGTTCAGCTGGATGGGGCAGGAAGTGCTGAGTGGTTGGGCCAGGGGACCTGGTTGGGGTATTGGGAACAGGGAGATGTCTGGGACCTGCGCTGGCTGCACTGTGGCCTGTGGAAGTGGCATCTGCCAGGGGGCGGGGACAGTTAGCTGCCAGCACCCAGATCCCCGCACAGCCCCCAGCCAGACTTCTGCTAGCCAGGGCGGCTTCAGGAGACCAAGGACCAATGGGAGTTGGGGCACTTGGGGCAGGGCAGGACTTGGGACCTGGGGGAGTGGGGCTGTTCCTCCACGGAGGGCCCTCCCCTCACTGTGGGTGCTGCTTGTCCTTTCTCACCTTAGCTGACTTCACAGGCAGTTGTCAGGAGAAGGGTCCAATGTCCCTGCCTCCAAGGGGCTACACACAGGTCATTTTTACTTGTAGGAGCCAGAAGAGGAGCCCCTTCTGCCTCCATCACCTCCTCCCCCTCCTCCACCACCCCCAGCACCTGCGCCTGTCACCGTGTGCCCCACCATAATTGTCTGCTGCTGTGCATGCCGTGGTGTATGTGTGAACAGATGCTCAGAGGTGAGGGGCTGGCACTGTGACCCCAGCTGGGGCTCTGGGGGACAGGGGCTCTGGAGACGGGAGGGGACATGGTTGTGTGGACTGTGTGGGGATCCCATGATGCCAGGGGACAGCTTGAGACCACACAGCTTGGCCAGGGACGGCAGCACCCAATGGAGCTCATCCTCCCACCCCACTGGGTCTGTCCTGCACAGGGATCTGTGGCTTCCTCCTGGGAGCTCCCTGCCTCTGTGTCCCATAACCCTACTGAGAAGCCAGCCCTGCCCCACCGCTTTCTGGGGATACCGAGACGCCCATACCTGCCCAGTAAAGAGGATACCACTGCCAGTGGTGGGTTCTGGCTATAGGCTGTCCCCAGAGGGGTGGCACTGCCTGGAACTTCGGTCCAGACCTGCAGGTGGCTACAGCCCTGCTGTGTTCTTCCTCAAGGCCCTGTCTGCTTTTTAGGGTCCCTTGATCTTGTGCAACTTCAGTCACCCCAGCTGCCACCAGGTATCGATGACATTGCCTCCGTCCAGTGACCAGGTGAGCAGGACACTGGGACCCTCTTGGTGCACCTATCTGAGGCTGGCTTGCTGAGGACTGTCCCTGTGTCCCCGTTTAGTCATCCAGCAGCTGCACAGAAGCTGCTATCATTTCCAAGTTTACATGGGTGGGGCAGAAGCCCGTAGAGCTTGCGGGACTTGCTCACGAAGCCTGGGACACACAGAGGGGGCTTGGGCCTGGGCCCTGCCCCCTCTTCCATTCTGTCCTCATTGGCTCAGCCCTGGCACACATGCTGGTCACCCCAAATCCCTGGCAGGCTGACCTGCTCAGGCTGGGTCCCCAGCACGCCCTCACTATGCGTGGGGCTCCTGTGCCTGGGCCCCATGCCCAGCCCTGGACACAGCTGCTGTGGGAGGAGGGTGGGCAGTGGCCAGGCCTGAGTGAGGCTGCACTGGGCTCGCTCCCTGAGCAGGGTCAGCGCAGGACCTGGGAGTTCACTGATCAGCAGGTGCTCAGTGGGAGGTGGGGTAGGTGGGTCCCTGCAGAGCCTGCCCTGGCCTGAGGAGAGGTGGGCAGAGAACAGAGTTGATTCTTAGGGCCAGGCCTATGAGTATTCTGCTGGCTCTTGCTGTGAGATTGGCATGGAGCTGCAAGGGAAAGGTCTTTCAGGGAGAATGAGGGCTGTGTGGGGTGGCAGGAGACTGAGAGAGACAGAGACAGAGCCTTTCCCTGAGTCAGTGTTGTAGAAGTGTACTCTGCCGAGGTGGCTTTTGTGACCTAAGCATTCCCCGTGGCCCAGCTTGGAGTACTCTACTTGGCAGAGGTGGGATAGAATTGAGGCTGTCTGGGAGGAGAGGTAGACTTGGGCTCAGGACGCCCTGGCCCAGCAGACTAAGGAGGAGGCAGGCGTTAGCAGGTACAGAGCCTCTGTCTGTCTGCCAGGGCCAGCTCTGGCTGGAGAGAGGGAGCAGGAGGGTTCCATGGGCGGGTCTGGGTTGCAGGCCTGCAAAACAACTCTGGGGCTGTGAGCAGGACAGGAGGACTCTGTGAGAACTGGAATCTGGGGTGGGTGGAGCCTGGGTGACCAGGGCCAGCAACTGGGGTCAGCCAGAGAGGAAAGCTATTGCCTTAAGACCCAGGAAGGGGTGACCTGTGACCCAGACCCCTAGGACCTAGGACCTGTGACCATACCTGTCCTAGGTCTGGGCCAGGACAAGGTCTGAGGAAGCGCAGATGAGATCCAGCTGCAGACAGCAGATGGACGTGGAGCGAAAGGGATATCTTAGCGGTTACTTCCCAGGCCTGTATAGCTTGATGCTAGGTGACAGCCGTGAGAAGGGTCTACGGCACCCCAGGGCCCAGTAGGGCTCAGTGGCTTCCAGGTAGACTAGCAAGCTGGCTTGGGTGGAGGCGGAGCCTGCAGGCCGAGAGGCCAAGGAGACTCCAACTGCTCTCACCTTGGCGTCGTCACAGCTCTGTCACAGGCGCAGTGAGGATGCTGCTCATTTCCATGCAGGTCTAGGCCTTATGGTATGATGTGGGAGCTTTCTTACCTAGGATGACAGAGCACAGAGATGACGTTGCCTGCCCTGTGCTGAGCAGTGTGTTATGTCCAGTGTACAAAAGATGAGGAAATTATGGAGGAGGCTTTCTGTGGGAAGATATTAGCCAAATCCTGAAGAGGAGGCTCGGGCTCAGCCAGAGAGGAAAGCTATTGCCTTAAGACCCAGGAAGGGGTGACCCAGACCTGTGACCCAGACCCCTAGGACCTAGAACCTGTGACCCTACCTATCCTACCTAACCATGCTCCTTTAGTAGACCAGAAGCTCAAATTGCTTTCATGTTAACAAAATGATTGCAGGGTTCCCATCAATACATCTAGATTCCAAGAAGAAAAAAGGAGCAGCAGGGCCCCAGGTGCTTTCTGCAGAGCGCAGTTCGGCAGGGCTTGTCTCTGTTCCATTTGCCAGAATTTACACAGGTGTCATCTTGCTCAGAAAGAGAAAGTGGGTGAGGTTATGCAATGGGGGAACACTTTGCTTCTCCTAACAAAACCAGTTTGTTGTTATAACAGGTTTCTCATGGTTTGTTGTTGAACACAGTGTTATTGGTCAGCATTTGAAATAGCTGCCCCAATTTACAGACAGGAAGGCCATTCCCCCAAGGCTGAGTGGTTCAGGAAGTCTGAGGCAGGCATGATCCACAGCTCTTGAGCTTATTTGGAGGGAGGGATACCCAGGGCTTTGCTAAGAGGCCTGATCAGCTCTTCAGATGGGCTCTCCCTCATCATTGGGCATGAGGAACTAGGAGTGACATCAACACAAAGAATACTCAGTGTCCCATGGCTGCCTGAATGGTCTGGCTGTCCAGAACAGGAGCCAGAGGAGGAGAGTGGGTGGGGCCCATGGTCACCTCCACCCACCAGCCTCCTCTGTTGGAGTAAAGGGATCCCTTGAACTTGTACTGGGGAGATGAAGTTATGGCTGCCATGGGCCTGGCTGTAGTTCCACTTGCAATCTGGCATATGGCACAGACTTCAGCTCAGGGCCAGCCTGATGGTACTCGGGTTTCACCCTTTGTATCTATATGTTGGAAAGCAATTTGTTTGGCAGAAATCAAGCTGTCCCTGGACTGTTCTGGGTCCTTCTATCTCTTTGCCCTTTCCAGCTTTTAGAGGCCTAGCAGTGCAGGCACAGGACCCCTCCTCCTGCTACAAATCCAGCAGAACAATACCACCCTCAAAGGTCTCCTGGCTGCCATGCCTGTGCATGGTCTTCTCTTCCATCCTCACTCTCTACAATCTCCCCTATGGCCCTTGCATTGGACAATGTCTACCAGATGGCCCAGCATATCTCCAAGTTCTTAAGCACAGCCTCAGAGTTCCTTCCATTGTGTAGGGCACAGAGGCACAGGTTCCAAGGATATAGACCTACACCCATTTCAGATCCACTGCTCAGCCTCCATCCTGGTGTTTGAAGATGCCTGGATGGGTCTGGGAGTGGTGGAGGCTGGAAGGCAGCATTGTGGCAGGGCTTCACCAGGCCCTGACTTCAGCAGCCACCTGCAACCTCTGCCCAACTGCAGGGCACTCACCCATCTCCTCTCTCTGCTCTCCCTCCAGGGCAGCTGCATCAACTTCAACCTCCTGAAGGTGCTCTGTGCCCAGGGCCACTGGGACCCCAAGATTGGTCTTCAGCCCAGTCTGGACAACCTCCCTATAGCCTACTGCTCCCAGTGCCACCACCCTGAAGCCTGGAGTGCCAGGTCTCCCTCCGGGACACTGCCCCTGCTGCACCCCCCTTCCCAGACATCCTGCAGACCCACCCTGTCACTCCCACCCCCATAGCCCACCCACACTCCACACACCCAGGTGAGAGGACTTGTTGTTGAATTGGACATAGGCATGGAGTCTTGGATTCTAATAAACCAGAGTTGGATTTTGTTGCTGAGCAGCAAGGGTCTGTCACCGAGGTGACATTGCCCTATCTGAGATGTGATTATTCTCACTTCTAGGATGTGCATCCTGGTGTCTTGTGGGTACCAGGCATGGGTGCCCCCACTGCCACCAGTCTGTCTTCATCTGTCACCAAGGGCTGGGAAACATGGGTGCTAATGTTAAGTCCTCTTTCAAAAAGGAAAAAGCATCCAAGTTGTGGAACCTGGGTCTTCTCTGCTAATGTTTGTAAGAGAAGTGTGTGAACTCTTGCTCTCCATTCTTGGCTAACCAAATCCTGAATGCATCCTAGAATGCAAGCCCTTTCTTGAAGAGAGAGACCTTTCTTTTTCCAGAGACCTCAAGCTGTCCCAGGTCCACAGGATTTCATCAGCTCCCTTGCATTTCACCAGGGTGGGTGGTGAAATGGCACTGTGCTGAGAAGAAAGAAGGGTCCTGATAGTGGGGTGCAGCCTGCAGTACCCTACTTCAGCATTCGCAGTCTTTGGCCTGACCGCCCAGCAGCAGGCACATGAGCAGGGAACCCAACAAGTTTCCAAGGCCCTGAAGAGGGGGCCAGGTGCAACCTGCCCAGTTGTCCCTAATCTACCCCGAGGGTGAATCAGATGACGCCTCCCATCTGACCCCACTTCCCTGCAGGCCACCTTCAGCTTTGCAGGTGAATTCCTGAGAGGTTCACACAAGCAGAAAAAGGCCATGCTTTGGATTTGACTCAGCACAGGTTTACCAAGATGGGCAGTGATGACCACACTGTCCCCCCATTGACAAAGTGACTGGGCTTGCTGGATTGGCTGTGTCACACATGGAGGGGTTGTCCCAGTCTTCCTCTAGGCCCTATGGCTCTGACCTTTCATTCATCCCAGGAATTGCTATTTCTTGTCCCTCCTCCAGCTTCTCTGTCCTGGAACCTGGGTGCCATGCACTCTTCCTGGCCCCTCCCCTCTCTTGCAGCACATCTGTCTCTCCCTGGGTGTAGGAGGCTTCTCTGCACTGCAGGGAAATGGAGTCACAGCACAGGGAAAAGAGGAGGGCACTGCAACAGGGGTGGACTCGATGATCAGGTCTGGCCCCTTGGAAGACTCAGTCCCAGAGCAGCTGTGGGAGGTTCAGGGAAAAGCATCCCTCCACAGGGCACAGCCTGACAGTCACACTGGAAAACAAGGTTTACCTTGGGTCATTTTTTTTAACCTTCTTAAAGTTTTTGTTTTGCAATCCCAAAACTCCTGGGGGGCAATGCATATGAGACTGGGGAGGATGCCTATGCTGCAGGAGGAGGGCTGGCACCAGTGAAGGCAGCCCCCTGCTGAGGGCTGCACCAGCCTCCCCTAGGGTCCCCAGGCCCAGCTAGCAGGAGGGGCTGAGATGGAACCAGGTCACCTCCCCAACACCAAAACTTGCCTGCCTACCTCCCTGACAGTCCAGCTTCCCCAGGGCCATGCTGAACCCCGGGGGCTGTCTGAAGGTGCAGGGACAGTTCCAAGTCTGCCGGGTGGAAGGGGCAACAAGGCTTAGAGCAAAAGGCACTGAGCAGGGATTTGGTTTAGTGACCCCAAGAGGCCACAAGTGGTCACTCCCTAGAGTAGCCCTGCTAGGGCTTTTCCCAGGGCTGGGAAGTGGTGACTCCTGGGAGCCAGGGACTGAGACCCCACAGGACCCAGGGCTGGGCCAGGTCACTGCAGAGACAGCCAGAGGCCCTGTGGTGACTGCCTCTACTCCGGAGATGAGGACAGTGCTGAGGGCTGTGCTGGGAGGCTGAGGGCTGTGCTGGGGCTGAGCAGCAAGGCCCTGCTTGTGCTCTGACAGCCCTGGGGTCCTGAGACCCTACCTGCCTACAGTGACTGGGGACCTGGCCTTCTAGGGCTCAGGTGGAGGCAGGAGGGTCACTCATTGGTCCAGGATAAAGAAGGTGTCTGAGATGTCAAGGCATGGCTGCTGGCCTGTGTTCCTGTCTTGGAAGCTGCGCACTGGACTCAGGGGTGGAAACTTCCCAAGCTCAGGCAAGTCGTTAGGAGCTATTACTCCCTAGTGCTTTTTTTTTTTTTTTAAATTTATTTGGTATAGGGTCTCACTATACAGCTTACACTCATAGTGATTCTCCTGTTTTCAGCCTCCCCAGACTTAGGATTACAGGTGTACACCACCACACCCAGTCTTCTCTAGAGCATTTCTAATTATATTAGCTATGTGATTTTTCTTTAACTGTTTCTCCCTTCCACCATCTTTGGGTTTATTTTTCAATTTATCTTCTAATATTTTCAGTTAGAATATTAGTTTCATTTATTTCATCCCTTCTTTTCTATAATACCAGCCTTTAAGTCACAAATTTCCTGCTAAATTTCTCTTTTCTTGGGTCTTGTATATTTTTGGATGTATTATTTTATTATGATTGTTTTTTCTAATTTGAATTTTGGTGGTCTCCTTTGATTCAAAATTATTTATATGTATAATTTAAATATTCAATCATTTACATTTTTTTAAAAAACACATGGGATTCTAAGGTAACTAGATGGTGGTAGAAGAACATGGTCATAGGGATTTTATTTGGGGGCTGGGAAGAGGCTCACTGGCAGAATGCTTGCTTGACTATGTTGGGTTTCCAGCCTTGCCAAAGACGTTCTGAAAAAGTGACTGTTCTTTTGCCGTTTATTGCTTACTGTGATTTGTTCTAATGGACAAAGCAAGGGGTAATTCTTTATCAGTCCATTCCACCAACTATAGTAATTAGGTTGCTAAATATTCTGAAGTTTTAGGAGAATTTTAACTACTACTTACTACTACTGCTACTACTACTACTACTACTACTACACACACACACACACACACACACACACACACGTTATAATTTCTTGACGTAATAGAAAATGTGGCAATGTCCCCTACCAGTTAACTGTTTTTCTTTTATTAGGAGTACCCCACCCCCCCCAGAAGTTTTGCTTTGTGAGAACAGAGCCTTATCGCTAAGAACTCACTCTTCTTCCTGTGGAGAGCTGTCCTATTGAGCGTTTGGCATCCCTGCTGTAGCTGCCCCACTCTTTCCTGTTAACCTTTTCCTGTCTACGTGTTCAGCGCATCTCTTTGGAAAAGCACTGAGCTGCCTTTTCGCTTAGCTGACCAACTCTGACTTCTACTTGGTAAGTTACACCTCTTTGTAACGTGAGCACCACTGAGAACTGGGGTGCATTCTGGGCCGACCCCCATGCCCATGATCCACTTCATTCTCACCAGAGGATGCCTTCTAGGCTGCCTGTGGTGTGACTGAGCCCTGAAGGACCTCCTACCCTGCCCCAAGCCCTCAGCTCCTTTGCATTCTTTGGTTCTTCTTACCAAAAGCCTGGAGTGGCACCTTTGGTTTGAATGTCTGGAAATACTTTCACTGTGTCCTCCTGAAAAACCATGCTGTGAGACACAGAACTGCAAACGGACGTGTTGTTTTTGAGGCACCAAGATATATGTTGAAGCTCAGGAGAACTCTGGTTGGTTTCACTGTCATCCTGGGTCATCTGTGCTTTGGGTGAGTGATTTTTAAAATTTTTCTATCCCTGCCTGAAATCCCAGCACTCTAGGAGGAGACTAAGGCAGGAAGCTTACAAGTTCCAGCTCAGCCTGGGCACGTTAGTGGTTTAATAAGGCCCTGTCTCAAAACAAAACAGAACAAAAAAAAAAAAAAAGCAAAAAAAGGGCTGGGAATGTATTCCAGTGTGAAAGCCCTGGGTTTCATTCTAGTACACAAGTAAATAAATAAATGACATTCTCTGTCCTTGAGGCCTGCGTGGGTGTTCACAGACGGTGTTCGATAACTCCTTTCTGTGCTCATCAGTGAGCTGTCTTCCAAAAACAGTAAAAGTTCTGCTTTTGTCACTCCTCCCCACCTCAGAATTGATGATGTCTGGATGCAGCTTGCCCTCTTCGGAGTTATTTTTGTCTTTATTGCTTATCTTCCTAACTGATCCATCAAAATCTTGGGAAAAGTTCTGCTCTTCCTTGCTTTATCTCTATGCACCACCCCACCAGGTCATTCACTAGGGAGACAGATGGACAAATGGACGAATGGATGTTTGGACGCAGGGTTGGATGCTGTACAGGCAGATGGATCCAAGGATGGGTGGACAGATGGACTGGATGCCAGCAATGCCTTCCTGTCAGGTCCTGTCCACGCTTTGAGCAGCTCTGTGCGCTGGCTCACACACTGGGCCCACCACACCCCCAGCACTGCCCTGGAGTTTCCTTACTCAAGCCATGGCGACTGCATGGGCCACACTCCCGGCCATTTCATCCTTCCCCAACCATCCCTCCAGGGGATAGCTGCAAGTTGTCTAGTCTCCAGATTCTGGGTCAGCGCCCTCACAGCTGCCTGGCACAGTACTGGTATTAGGGGGAGGGGACAGAGAACAACAGGAAGGCTGGGTAAGACCCCGACGCTGTTCAGGGGCGCCTTCCTGGAGGGGAAAAGATTCTTGGGGGGCTGGGTCCCCAGGGCATAGGGCGCAAAAATTACCCACAGGGTCGCAGTCGCCCAGGGTAGAGGACACACGGGGTGAGAGAGTGCAGCAGTCCGTGAAAGCCTCGCCTCTGAGCCCAGAGGCGCCTTGCTGCTTGTCGCATAGCCGCAGGAGCCCATCACCCCTGTCCTGCGACTGCGGGCTGGATCCACAAGTGGCCAGCGCCGGGCTGAGGAAGCAGGCGCACTCCCCCGGCGAGTTGTCAGCTCACTTCACTCTCCGCCAGATCCCGCCCTCCGGAGGGCTGCCCTGCAGGGCCCCGGGTGGGGACCCTTGGGTGGGGAACGCGAGGTCCCGCCTCAGAGGCGGGAGCAGCCTGGAAGGCGGGGCCTGGCTCCCGGCTCCTGCGGAGTTCAGAGCTGCTGCCCGCACCGTGCGCCTTCGCCCACGCGAGCAGGTGAGACGCGCGCCCCAGTCCCGCGCCTTTCCGGGCTGAGTCCCTAGTCCCGCCACTCTCCGCTTTCCGCTGTCTTCTGGGGGTGCTGTCCTCTTCTCTCCTCTCCTCTCTTAAGGTCCCACTTTTTTTTTTTTTTTTTTTTTTTGGTCCGTTTCTTATTCCCTGTTCCCCTTGCTCTATTGCTTGCTGTTCTAGTCCCTTTCCCTCTCCCATTATTTTCTGCGCAAGATAGTTTTGTCACGGTTTTTCCCCTTGGCAGACTTTTTGCATCCACTCCCACCCCACCCCCACACGTCGGTCCGCGCCCCCACGCCTTGCTCGATCAGTCCTTGTGCCTCTCTCCATCATCCGGAAATCTCCGCGTGCTCAGCCCTGCTCAGCCAGGGCCGTGTAGGCGCTAGGGTAAGAACCACGCGTCCCAGATCCTTCCTCCAACAGATTATTTCCAAAGATCTGCAAGGGCAACGCGTTCCGTGCCTGCGGTGGGAGAAATGAGAAATCTCTGGAGCACAAAGGAAATAGCTGGTTTGGGAGAAAAGACAATGATAGGAGCCTGCTCTTGACGCGCCTCTTCACTAATAGGCACCGACAGCACGCCAGGGAGAGAATCTTTACGCGCGCGGCTAGTGCGCTAGTCGGGGAGTGTGCCACCCACAGCCGCCTCTGGGCAGGGTGCGCAGTGCAGAATTGAGGGGCACGAGGGGGAGGTAGCGTTCAGAGCTGGGTTAGGGAAGACAGTGATAGGCCATGGCTGAGACTTGATGCCTCCGGGTGTGAGTGGGAATAAAAAAACGGTACATTTCTAAAATAAGCCCTGGCCAATGTCACTGATGTGCAGACATTGACCCAAGTATTGAATAAAACGAACATTTTAGGACGATGTTTGTGTGCACATTAGGTAAGAGGACCTGTGTGAAAATATTTCATGTTAGCATTGAGATTATCTTAGGCACTTGCCAAGTTAAGAAATTCAGGAATGCAAGCCTCACTGGATTTCGAGGAATAAAGTATAAGTATGTACGTTGAGTCATTTTTTGTTTCCATTTAAAATTTAATCATGTCAGAGAGAAATGATGCCATTATAAACAGTATCTTATGATCTACGTGCCTATATATCAGGAATGCATATGAAATGTTTGCTGTGTTGTTTTAAAAAGATTTAGCTAAAGCATAAATCTAGTGGTTAAAACAGGTGCACCCATTTCTTTAAAAAAGTTCGGAGCCGGGTCTTGAGCATCATGCTTTACCATTTATTTTCCTCCATCGCACAGCCTGCATCTCTGCAAGAACGTCTGTGCTCTCAGGCAGGGAGGGGTCTTGCAGGTGTATGAGTGAGGCTGAGCGGAAGCCACAGACCGGGCTCCGAAAGCCTACTGCTGACTCGGGGGCTTGCTCTTGTTCTCTGACTGTCCTATGAATGAAAGCTGTCATTTCCCGGAGCCTTGCTACTGCTCATGCATAAAGCCTTGTTTAAACCAGGAGGAGCATCTGCACTGAAGATCGGCACCCCCATCTTACTCACCAGGAGGCCCAGGCCAACAGTGGCTGCACCACCAAAGCTGTGCAGTTAGTGAGTGGCTGCGCTGAGGTCGTGCTCCAGGTTGTCCCTTGGGGCTGAGTGCATAGGGCTGATGCCTTCCTGTAACGTGACTGTCTGTGTAGCAGCAGCCACAATGAGGTTCTATTTGGCATACTGCTCTAGACAGCACAGCTCTTTGCCAGTTGGTCCTGTTGTTGGAACTCCACTTTCTGTTCTAGTGTCTTGGCCATCCTTGGGAATGGCCAACCTGAATCTGCACACAGAGCCCATTGAGGACTGGGTGATGAGCTGACACTTTCCCCTACACGAGCTCTGTGGCCAGCTGCCCTGTGGATTGAAATCTGGCTGTGCTGAGAGCCTTGGACTTGGCTTTACTTGAGCACAGCTTGTGTTGCTGCTAGAGGAGAACAGCTGCACATAGAGTAAGCTGACCAGGGAGCCTTCCTTTCTCCAGCTTTGTAGCATCAACCAGCTAGCCTCCAGTGATGCCTGGACTACTTTTTAGGGCTAACTTTTAGGCTAGGAGGCTGCCCAGACCTATGCATATTCCATTTCTTAGAAACACCCAGAAGCTCACATTCCCTGTGTAGAAGTTAGTACATGTCCATCCTCTGGAACCTTCCATTGCATCCAGGAAACCTCTGAAGAGTCAAGGGATTCCACAGGGATTGGAAGAACAGAGATGTCTTCTGCTGTGGTTTGTTTCAGCTGAAGAGAGACAGATACAGTAAGGCACAGCCTGGTGGTGCACACTTGTTGCTGAATAGGACCTGGATTCAGAGCTGCAGCTCAGAGCAAGGGAACACGGGCCAGTTGGTACAGTGGACATGAGTCATCTCGATGTTTATGGAGAGTTCTTTTGTCTGTAAATGGAATAAGAAAGAAAAAGATGCCCGTGTCACTTGGTCATTTCTTGAACACTGCTGTGTGCTGACCTTTGAAAGTATTCAAGTAACAGTGACTTTGGTCATTCCTTTATGCAGCAATTTATCTCCAAAACATTTATTAAGCCATATTTTTAGTATTACCCAGTGATATGGGCACCCAGGTAACCCTTTTTACAGATGAGAAGACAGTGGCTTAGAATGAAAAGATAGGACAGAGCCTGGTTGGCTTCTGTCCCTGGAATCCAAGCACGTGGCCTCTCTGTAGATGTAAGATGGTTTGCTGGAGCAACCTGACTGAAGCATAGGGTTACAGAAGATAGTGTAGGAGAATGAAGCTGAAATGGCAAGCAGAAACACCAAAACAACACCCAGGATTTGGAGGCAGATTCATTTGCTTCTATAGGCACTGATCAGGATCATTCTTAGAATATTGGGTCCTGATATAAGTCCAGGGCTTATATGAGATAAGCAAGCAGGATTTGCAAGAGGCAGAATGACTTGTCAATTGGGGTTGGGATTGAAATGTGTGTCACATTGACTATCCACTTCTAAGAGACAGGAGCAACCAGAATTGGAATAGGAATATTACCTGGGCAACTAAGAAACTGAAGTATACTGGTGGTGGTGGTGGTGGTGGGGAGAGGCATTCTCTGCTATACAGCCAGAGCTTCCCAGCTGTAGGAAGGCCTGGCCTGTACTTGCTGCCCAAGGGTAAGTACTAAGCAAAGACACACTTGCTTTTCACGCGGTAGGTAGCATCTCCTAGGACATAACACATTGTGTACGTCAGTAGTGTGTGCACCATGGCTGGTAGGCCAGGAGTGCTGGAAGCTGTAGCAAGAACTATTCCCAATGATAGGAAAGACTAGGTATCTTAGGTCATAGACTTTAGGAGCTCGGTGTCAGAACATATCCAAGATTGTCACTTGCTAATCCCATGATTATAAATGTGACCAGGACACACTGAAGATGGAGGGAGAGTCTTGGCATTCAGCCTCTTTCAGACAGAGCACGGGCCAGTCCTGAGTGATGTCTGTGTGACTTGGGGGAATGTCTTCCTCAGGCCAGGGTGATGAGAATGAAGGAGGACAAGAAGCGCCCTCTCTTAGGGCATGCACAGAGATGGAGTGACAAAGACCAATAGAGTGTGTCAGGGCGAGAGCCCACAATGAACTGAGGCCATCAAGGACAGCTGAGGACAACAAAGTAGCTTTTTATATTAGGTCTGGAGCAAGATGAACAAGGATGGCATAGATCCCTCGCTGCCTGGGGCAGCTGGTGTCTGAGAGGACAAAAAGGAAGGAACAGCTCTATTCTGCTCAGAGAATGTCTGGACAGAGGGTGGCCCTGCAGGTGTCCATGGTGGTGGCAGTCCCTAGAGCATAGGAAGAATGAGACAGCACTGAGAGCTCTGTGTGTCACCCCAAGGACATCCCGTGACCACATCGTGGGGCACGGAGATGAAGTTTCAGGTCATCTGAGGCACCAGGGTTCGTGGACGACTCAGGGAAAGCCAGGAGATCAATGAGGTATGAAGTAAGGCATCAGCCCCGAGAAGGTTCTGGGGTGGAAGTAACCACTGGGCATCCACGCTCAAGGATGACATGACCACTGTGTGCTGGTGGGAGCTCCGTAGGAACGGGCCATGGCAGAGCCACTTAACTTTCCACCTGGAGGGGCTTCCATCTGGCAGTCATCAGGCGGGTGGGAAGTGGAGCTTTGGAGATATCTTTGCACTTGCTGGAGTGACAGACCCCAAGCCATACTGATTCATGAGAAAGAAATGGCCCTTTGGGGCCCCCAGGTGGCAGTCAAAGGTCCCCAGCAGGTCTTATCTTTCTCTCCTCCCTTATTCCCTCTTCCTCTTTCTTTTTGTTATTGTGATTTGTCTTCTCCTCCCCCTCTCTTCCTCCTCCTTATAAGATTTGGAGGGTGTCCTCGATGGGGCATGAGGCTGGACAGGATTCTAAAGTCAGCAGTCGGTGCCATCCAGATCCACTGAGGTCATAGAATTCTGGAGGCCTGCACTGAACTTAGCAAGGTGGCTGGAGGCAGATTGAAGCTAAAGGTGTGTGGTTTGACACACGCAGTCTCCTTTGGGCGCTGGTCGAGAAAATTAAATGCAACCAAGGGTATTAGCCATGTAGTGGAATTAAGTACAAGCAGACAGTTGTGGAGTTGATGAAGGGCACCTTTTAGTTTTATACCAGGAAACATCCTGATAGCTTCTGAGTTTTCCTGCTGCAAAACCACATTTCCATGTTTAATGCTGAGAAGACGGGGTTCACATCATTGGCTCTGGGCACCCTGCACAGATTGGACATCAATCACCAAAGACCACTTGAGCCCCAGGGGCAGTTTCTTGGCCTGTCTACAGCAGATGCTTGGGACCAGGGGACAGTGGGACAGGATCCTGTATAAGCTTAGGGACAACACTGTGTGGAAGGGTGTTATGGTTTGTGTCCCGTTGTCCCCCAAAAGCCCTCTGTAGTCATTGGGGTAGGCCTCTGGAATTCATGATTAATTCATGATGCAATTCTGGGATTATGGGTGCGAGTGCTACCCCAACTCTAGGGCAAATAGCCTGACTACAGTGTAAGGAGGGGAGAGAGGCCTGCTTCTCCTCCCTTTGCTCTTTGCTCTTTTCTGCTGCCATGAGCTGCTGCCCTCTGCCTTGTGCCACTGTGCCTTAGAGCCAGTCAAGTATGGACTGAAACCTCCACAAATGAGCTAAATAAACCTTTCCGTCCTTAATTTTGGGTGTTAGGTATTTTTTCCCCAGAAATGGGAAAAATGTAACTGAGACAAAGGATGAAGAGGGTGAGATTGAAAGAGACAAGAAATTGAGAGAAATTAAAAGAAAGAGTAAAGGAGAGAGGGCCAATGAAGTTGTGAGGTTTGTGTCTGTGTTTATATTTAAAGTGTGTGTGTGTATGCGTGTGTGTGTGTGTGTGTGTGCACGCGCAAAATCTTTTTGCAAGGGAGGGAATTGTTTTCTGGTCTCCCAAAGAGCATTGGGTGGGAACCTCAAAGGCCCCTTGGGCCTCTAGCAATGCAGATCTTTCCTCCCTTGGGCCTGTTTGGACCTGGGCTGCTCGAATTATCTTGGAAGGGGCTGCACTCTAGGGAGGACTTCTGACAGTTTCTAGTCCACATCTTGCTACTTTGCTATCCATCTATAAAGGTTTGGGTACTTTGGGGTTTTAGAGAGTGCCTTCCCATAAGCATACCACCACTACCTAGGTGGTTGCTAAAAATATACAGTGAATGTTTAAATTAAAAACTACTGTCTCTTGGGTAGATGATTGTTTAAAAAGGAAGGGGGTGGTGAACAAAGGCAGGAGACAGGAAAAGGAGTGTTGCGGGACTGTCCTGCTACAAAGTTGTACATGGCTAGATTTCTGGACTTATGTGTAAAAATATATAATTCTTTATTCCTATTTTTAAAATATACGTTAATTTTTTAATTTTTTTGGTCATATTCTGTAGGGACTTAAAGTCTAACATATCAATACTTTATGAAAAATACCTGTTCCATGTTATGCCTAAGATGTTTGATATTCAGATAGTGAGGTTAAGTTCAACAGCCTAGGTTATATGGCAATAACAATAAGCTTCTCTTCTGGAGGGTTAACAACCTAAGTTTGCAGATCAAAATTAGAGAAAAAGGAGGGCTGCAAGGAAAGTCAACATTTTGGCCCTAGCCTTCCAAGGTCAATTAAGACTCAGGACATATGAGAACTTGTACTGTAACACCATGTAACTGAGTTATGTCCCAAATTTTCTGATCAAGGAGATTATGGGGCTAAGAGGAAAGTGATCGATGATGTAGAGTGTGCCTAAGGAGAGTCACATGGAGAGAAAATATTCTCTCAGGCTTGCACAGGGAGCACACTGGCCAGGCAATGGCCGTGACTCATCCACATGGCTGACACTGACAAAAGTTCTACAATCTGACGTACAGGATCTCAGGATAAATCCTGAGGGAATTTGACTGACCTTATCAGTCAAAAAGCTACAATTCTTGTTACATAGGTCTTGCTTTATCTTGGTCTTAACCATCCAGCAGAAAAGTATAAAAATGAAGTACAGGAAATAAAGCCATGTTGTTATGTTGAGCTGTAGGGGACTCAGGCCAACAATTTCTGACATTGCCAGTGAAGCGGAAGACCCAATACTATTATGGACTACTGGACTATTTTGGAATATTTTGCTGAGTTCACACACCTATAATATTTAAATGATGGAACTAAACAAGAAAAGGGGATATAGATGAATGACTATTTTGTATCTGTGTATTCAAAATGGTTGGGATAGATATATAGCTACATTCTATTGATTCAAGGAATAGAAGGATTTGTTCTAATAGTGCCTGTAAATAGGATATCATGTTTGCATCTTGTACAACAAATAACCACTAGGTAGGCAGTATGCAATGTGTTAATTATTGGAACTGTCCTACCAATTTGATTTGAAACTGTCTCATTGCTATTTATTTCTCAATAAAGTTATGGGAAAAACTTATTATAGTAAAGGAAAAGGCACATTGCCATAGATCTCCCTCAAATTATTCCCTCTTCCTTCATACACACTCATCCTGTTCTTGCCAGTCTCTGATGCAGCTCTGTACGTCCTCTTTCCTGAGTGTCTAGTAGTGAAGTTGTGGCTGCCTCCATGTTCCAGGTGGATTCAAAGTGCTTTCTTTTCATGGTCATTCTGAATTTAGAGATGAGCCAGAAGTCACATGCTGCCAGATCCAGGGAATAAGGTGTGCTGTAGCTTGTGCCTAGGTGTCCCTGTAAAGTCTCATGTAGTCATGGGACAGCTTCTAGAATTTGTGATTAATTCATGCTCCAGTGCTGGGATTGTGGGTGTGAGTGCTACACCCACCCTGGGGTGGGTAACCTGCATTGCAGTGTAAGGAGGGGAGAGGGGCTAGTTAGAAGCCACAACTGCTGCCCTCCCTTAGCTCTTTGCTGTTTTCTGCTGCCATGAGGGGCTGCCCTCTGCCATGTGCCCCTCTGCCTTGGAGCCAGCTGAGTATGGACTGAAACCTCCACAAACTGTGAGCTAAATAAACCTTTCCTTCCTTCATTCTGCGTGTTGGGTGTTTGTCCCAGCAATGAGAGAAAAGTAACTGAGACAGTGGGTGAGGACAGTGTAATGATTTGCAAGCCTACCTTTCCACTGGGTCTCAGCAATGGTATTTTTCATCATACCTCATAAAGACACTCACCAAAGAGGACTTCCAGAACTGCTTCTGTCTCCATTGCTGCCTGGAGTCTCTGCCTTATCCCACCAGGGGTCTCCTCTGCCTGCTCCTGCTCTTGGGTGTGCTCCCCTCTGCTGCTGCCCAGCTGTGCACTCTGGGTCCCTCTGAGCCCCTCCTATCTCCTCTTCCGTTCTCCCCAGAGGCAGCATAGCCAGTCCTCCAAGTTCCAGCCAGCAGTGGAGGCCTGCAGATCCAGGGTTTGTCAGACTTCAGCCTGTGGGAGGGTTCCCGAGTGGCTGGTGCTGTCATCTCACTGCAGCCTGTTGCTTCCTCTCTCTGCAGACTGCAGTGGCACTGCCGCTGTCCCTGGGAACTCTCTGATCCCACCGCTCTCCCAGGCAGACCAGCCCTTCAGAGCTCACACCCTGCAACTGATGGCTGGTGGAACAGGTACTTTGCTCAGCTTATCCAGGTTCTGCTGATCACCATGGCTGCTGGGAAGAGGACACCCACGAGCCCTTCAGCTGAAAACAGAAGACAGCTGTGTGAATCTGAGCAGGATCAGAGTTATAAGCCAGTGCTGCTAGAGAAAACGAACTGCCTGGGCCCCGAGGCTGCCACTGGTAGAGGTGCCCAAGATGTGCTTTGTGCTGAGCTGGCCCTGTCAACATCAGCAGGAAAACCCAGACCAGGCAAGCCTCTTCCATGGAAGGCTTGCAAGGGGGAGAGGCCCAGCGCCTTCATGGAGCTACCAAGACCACAGGAGAGACTGGGGGGCAGCCACGCCCAGGACAGGGAAAGTGAGGTTCCTGCAGGCCACCCTGACCCGCAGCAGCTGACCCCAGATGTCCCCAGGGCCCTGGCCTCCGGTGTATGGCCTGGTGCAGCCCGAGGGGAGCAGAGAAGTGCTTTTAGTAAACCCACCAAGCGCCCAGCAGAGAGGCCTGTCTTCCAGGACACCCTGGGTGAGCTGTCTGGACTCCTCCATGCTATGGATGTCCCTTGTTGGAATGGACTGTCAACTTCCAAGCTGGTGGTGAGGGACCTCTGGAATTTACAGACAGTGTCACAGAACACTCTACTTTGCAGTGCTTTCCCGGGTGCCCCCACACTGTGGCTGGAGCCTGCACAGGCCCGGGGGGGTCCCATACCCTCTGCATCCCGCTCACTCCCCTCGAGAGCCATCCTTCCACCCACACTTGCTTCCCTGGGCTTGTCCACCCAGAACTGGTGTGCTCGGTGCAGCTGTTCCTTCCGCCTGACCTCTGACCTGGTCTTCCACATGCGCTCCCACCACAAGAAGGAGCTTGTGGGGCCAGACCTGCATCCTAAGCTGCGGAGGCAAGAGGCGCTTGCCTGCCCCGTCTGCCATGAGCACTTCCGGGAGCGCCACCATCTTTCTAGGCACATGACTTCACACAGTTAGCAATGGATTGGGAGAGGGGCGGTTAAAGCCCTGGGTACAGTGTCCAGTGGTGGCAGAGGTGGCTCCTAGCCTGCCTGTGGTATGGCCTAAGTCTGGGATCCCTCTGCTCTTTGGCATCTATGGATGAACAGCTCCATTCTTAACTGGAAAAATATAACTGAGCCCCTGTGAAATGCTTTGCAGGAAACAAAGTTCTAGAATGAAGGGATGTGCTTTGCTCATCCAGATGAGTGGGGCAGTGCACACTGAGAGCAGGGCTGCTCCTGGCTCTGTTCTTTTGCTCTGCATGGAAAGGTGAATGGGGCCCAGCATGGGCCATACGGGCATTCACCTTGGAGCATGACCTTGAACCTGCTGAGCCTCGGTTACCTCATTTGTTAAATGGAAGTGAACATGTCTGAGTGACAGGGTAGGTGTGGCCTGTTTGCTGACTGGTACACCATGAGCCTGGGGACAGTCCTGTGGTCACTGTCTGGACTCATCAGTCTTATCATCCAGGAAATCTTGGGCAGATGGCCACATTCAGCTGTTTCCAGGCTGCGAGGCTGTGGCAAAGCCTGGTGAGCAGGCTTGGCTGGCTGTGGTGCCCACAAGGAGGTGAAGTCAAGTCCAGGCTCTGCTCTGCTGGGTTGGACAGGCTGTGCAGAGCAAGCCCCATTCACGGTGATGCCAAGAGTGGGGAGGAACACCAGCCGGCAATCCAGCCTGCCTCCTGCTCTGGGGTCTGCAGGCAATGAGAGCACATGTCATGCACAGAAGCTGGCTGCTGAGACTGCTGCCCCGGGTGGGGCCGGAAAGGGGAGCTTGGCTCCATTCGTGGTCCTCTCGGTGACTTGGCATTCTTGTCACATCCTTTCGCAGGAGCGCCCGAAATCTACTCACTTTACTTCAGCAGAGAGATCATAGCTCCTCACACCTTTGCTCAGGATCAAGAATGCAAGAACAGGGTGCCAGCCCCCCAGCTCTGAGCCCTGTCCTTCCCAGTTTGCCGTGTGTGTGCATACCTCTATGTGGACAAGTGGCTTCCTGGGTGACTTAAGAACCAGAACACAGGGGCAGACCTGCCTCGGACTCCACCTGAATTTTGCTGCAGACAGACAGACAGACAGACAGACAGACAGACAGACAGACACACACACACACACACACACACATATACACTCTTACCACCTTCTCCAAAGCAGTTTTCTCTACTCAAATGCTAAATATTGTATGATTTATCTTGTATATTATGGCTCCTGCCACTAGGACTGAAACCTGAGGAAACTTTGCTCTTTTGTGTACCTGCTGTGTCTCCATTATTTAGAACAGCAAGCATTTGCTGTGTGAGTGAGTGAGTGAAAAGCCTGGCTCTGGCCTTGCTTGTGTCAGGTCTCTAGTCTGCTCCTCAGGAGAGTCTTGGCACATGCAAAATGGTGTCTACCCTTGTCCCTCTCTGCTGACTGCACCAGGCATGGTTTCTGTAAGTAAGATGTGGTGGACACTTGGGATAGAAAAGGACTTTAGGGCACCCTCACTTTACACCAGTGGCCTTTGAGGTCCACAACCTCCTGAACTGATCCATATGGAAGGGCACACAGAGGTGAGGTCAAGTTAGGAGCCCTGAGGGATCTGGACCAGGAGTCACCCCTGCTTCACCCACACCTCCAGAACTGGACCAGGTACTAGCTTGCAGGAACAGAACGGCCAAGGGTGCTGTTGCTCCTGCCAATCTGTTAGAGCATTAGCCAGTGGGATGGGCACTTTGATAAAGGTTGATGCTATGAAGACACAAGTAGACATCATCTTCCAAGTCAACTTTTCATGATGGATGGATATAATTTCATTAAAAGTCAACTTCAAAGCTGGAATTAATCTTGATAAAAATTGGTTCAAGTTGCTTGGAAGCCATTCAAAGCAACACACTCCAAGACAGTTTTAGGGGTGCTGACTTATGGTTGACTAATGTGGCTGTCCCTTAGCATCAAAGGTTCTCAGGGCTCCTCTCCCACCTCTTCCTTCTTGTCTCCTGTACTATGGGAAGTCACTTTAAATCATGGCTGCTTGAGAGCTCTCTACACCACTATTATATGGATGTGTGTGTCCCCCCAAATAACATGACGAGGTCTCTCCATGCTAACTGGCTGTCTCCATTGGTAAGAGGCCGGGCCTAGTGGAAGGGTCCTAGGTCCTTGGAGTCATCCCCTTAGAGACTGTAGAGCCTTCAGCTCCTTATCTCTGTTCCACCCTTGCCAGTTGCCACCTTCATAATTGTTAGGGCTACTCAATCTTAGATTAGAAATTTTAAGCAGTGAGCTGCAGAAGCTTTTTCTCTATAAATTAATTGTCTCAGTCATTTCATGGCAGTGACCTGGAGCTGACTCATAGTGCTTTCTGGAAGAGAAAGTAGTATTAGACATGGAACACAGAAGCCACAGAGCGCATGAAAAGGAAGTCCAGGCTAATTTCCTGAAATCCAGAAGAGAAAATTCCTATTAGTTGCTAGAAAAAACAATGCTAAATTATATCTTAATGAGTCGTCTCCCAGCAGCAGCCAATCAGATGAAAGTGAGCACATTTATGGTGGTATGGCTGTAGACATATTCTGAGTTGATTCAATTTAATTCTCAATTTTAACCAAGATTGAGGCTTCTTTGGTTCTTTTCTTAAAAATGGCTGGGATCCTAGATTTCAACTTGTTGACAATCCCTGAATCTTTGGATCGGGGATCTTAAATACCCATGTTCCTAGATTAACAAAGATGGATAAGATTTTTATCCATCAGGAGGACCATGATGGGGTAGGTGCTGGCACACAGGCCTCAGGTGAAGACTGCTCACAGACAGGCCTCAGGACAGGACAGAGATCTGGGCTTTGCATATGTGTAGTTGCCATTGCTAAGTGATTTTTGAGTAGCAAAGTTTGTAGTCTCATGGAAGCACGTCGGAGGTGGTGGTGCTGGGCCAGCTGGTGGCCCAATTCTGTCTTACTCCAGTTGTTGAATAAGCCAATGACAAGATCTGGCCCTTCCTACCTTATTCGAGTCCCCATTTCTGGGAGGATAGGAAAAGAACCCTTGGGGTAAAAGTCCACAAGAGAAGCCCAAAGTCAGCCCTGTCTCCTGGGGGTGGGCGACAGCCCCTGTGGTCACAGGTGTTGTTTATGGCAACCTAGACTTCTTAGTCTTCTCACAGCCCTATCAATTGCATTTTTTGTTTCTTTAGAAGTCATGCAGAAGGTCTAAATACACAGCACATAAGATAGGAATTTCATAGAATAATCCTTTCCCTGATCAAAGAGATCATTTTCCAGTAAGCTTTGGCTTGGGATATTTGCCAGGAGAAAATTTTGGAAAACAATTTGGAATGGATCTTGGGGCGGGAACTGGTACAGAAGGGGTGGGCGGGGGTGGGGTGGGGAGTGGAGTTCCATTTCTCTCTCCCTCTCCTGTCCAGCTGTGTTTTTCTGAGCTGGAGTCAGGAGGCCCTTGTCATATGGCCCAGTAGCTCTCTTAAGCTGCTTGGATTAAGAGGCTATTTTCAGTGCTGGACAAAGCACAGGGAGGTCCTTACTCTAGGCAGCAGCTAAATCCCCAGGGACCAGCAGGAAGAGCTGGTGCCCTGCAGGGGGCCCAGGGGGCGGGGTTCCTGGCCCATGAGGGGGCTTGAGCTGCATGGTTTCCCTTGCTGCATTCCTGCCACAGGTTAGCCAAGGCCTTTCTGCCATAGAATTCCACTTTCAGTATCTCCTGAACCAGGAGTTATTTTTCCTCTTATTTTTTTTCCAATAAACATTCTCCTAGCTTCATCCTTTGGTCTTCAATTTCATTCTTTTACTTAGTGAGCCAGTGAGCTCATGTCTGTGAAGTCTGTATAGAGGTAACCATTTCACCAGACCTCGGGGCAGCCCTGGAGGGCCTTGTGTCTGACTCCTGATCACCCTTCAAGCAGGAGTACAGGGCACCGGCCTGCAGCCTCCTTCCCCCAGATCACCCTGCACCCCGGCTCACTTGTGCGGGCACTTGTGGGATGCACTTGGAGGATGATGCAGATGTTTCCTGCATCCTGACCTTCGCGTGACATTGCAGGCAGCCCACAGCTGTGCCAAGTAGCCAGTGCCAGGCAGTGGGAGCCTAGGACGGTGCTGCCCTTGGGCAGTGCACAACAGGATGGGGACAATGATGACCATGGCCAATGTGAGCAGTGCCCAAGGGACCAGAGTGTAAGAGGAGCAGAGCCCCTGATCTCCCACCTGTGAAACTGTACACAGAAACCCAGGCTGCAAGCGGCCTCTGCACCCCAGAAACATGGGTCTGTGCTGTGAGCCCAAACTACGCATTGCACCTCAGAGACTGCGCAGTGATGTCTCAAACCATGGCTGTATCGGTTTGAGAGCTGGTGATGCTGCGGATAGAGTGGGTAAATCAGTTATATGCATGGCTCTGACTTACAACCACTCAGCTTATGGTTTTTCATCTTTATAGTAGGTTAGTCAGAGTATTAGACGCATGTTACTTGCTACACTTTTGACTTTACAAAATGAGTTCATCACTGTAAGTCAGGAAGCATCTGATGTACTCAAATAGGCTAATAAAATTATTCACCTCACTTTATTTTTGCTTTTGGAAGCTATGTTGAGTAGAAAGTGGAAAGTGGCATGCATGGCTTGAATTGGTGGCTCAGGTTAATTCTACCAACAGAGATGCTCTTGCAACAGCCCCAGGACCTGGGCCTGGCAGTTTGGAAGCATGGGTGGGGACAGATATAGACAATCTCCCCCAAACAACAGCTACTGGGGACTTCTTTGGAAGGAATGAGCTCCCCATCTCTGGGGGCATACAAGCATAGAGGATGGGTGCAGTGGGTAGGGGATGAACTCCAAGGGTGCCTCTAAGCCTAACCAGAGCTCAGCAGTCCTGGAGCTACCTCTGGGCCCTAGGCAGCACCCAGGCAGGAGCCCCTTGGTGGGAGACCCCCCCCAGCCCGGGCTCCAAGTCACGCTCGAAGGTCATGCTGGAGCAACTCCTGGGCTCTGGTGAGGGCCAGCTCTGCAGGGACTAGGACATGTGGTGTCACTCCCACTCCTTCCCAGGAGCTGCCATCTGTGGCCCCCACAGAGCGAGCAGTGGGGATGGTGATGTAGAGGTGGGTGTCATCCACATGGTAGGTCTGAGGTGGTTGGCAGCCCCCACTGGTCACCTCCCCAATGACCAGGGCCCGGCCCAGCCTCTTCATGATGTAGGTGAACTCCTCAGCTGCCCCGGCAGTCACGCTGCTGGTCAGGATGGCCACATTCTTCTTGGATCCGTAGCGTTCACCTGCAGGACAGAAGCCCGTCAGGGTGGGTTCAGGGGGCCCTCGGGGCACCTGTGGCTCCAGGCTGTCTGAGCCTACAGACACCTGCAGAAGGTTCTGGGGATTTAGTCATCACCAACTCTCTGGACTAGGCAGGCTCTTCTTCCTGAGTAATGAGAGCCCCAAATCGGACCTGACTCATGCTTCCTTTTGAACCCTCAGAAGAGAACTTCATGACAGCTCTGTCACAGTGCTACCAGATAGACCTGTAAGTGCTCAGAAAGAAGGCCACCAGGGCCTGTTTAAGTATTTTTGGTGTCCACATTCAATAAGCAAAAATAAAACATGAGAAGCCCAGCACCTGGGAGGCTGAGGCAGGAAGATGACCGTGAGTTCAAGGCCAGCCTGGGCTACATAATAAGACTCTGTCACAAAAAATAAAACAGCACCCCACTCAAATAAAAACATGGAATTTTAACCATGCTTTACTGGACCCATCACAGTCATTTTGAACTGTATTCAAAATAATTCACCTCGAATCTAATGGAAGTACCAATGAGATTTTCTCTTCCTCTACTTTTTCCCTGTGACAGGTCTGCTAACCCTGGCATATGCTCCACATTTCCCGTACGTGTTACTGTAGACCAGCCACAGTCGAAGGTCCCTTGGCAGGTGATGTGTGGCTCTTAACAGAGACCTTGAAGTTCTATGTTCTCCTGGCCTTCAGATCTCAGCCTGTTTTTAACTTCTGGTCTTGGATGTTGGTTTGCATTTGTTATTCACCTGCTTCTGATTTCTGTGCTTTTGCAATATTAGTGGACTATGTCTTGCAAGCTATGGCAAAATTCACAAAGTGCACTCCTAAAAAGGGGACTGGGCATTCTGGAGCTTAGGGCACCCACTGGCCTCTCCTACGCCCTCTGGTGGTAGCAGCACAGATTCCTTGGTTTTGCATGCTGGGTTGGGAGAGGGAGGGGAGGTCATCCATCAGGAAGGGAATTTAGGGAGTTAGGGTCCACAGAGTTTGGGGGCCACAATGCTTCTTGCCCAAGGCAGATAATGGAGGTCCTTCCACCTTAGAAGCATGTGAATGCTGCCATGAGGGTCCCTGCAGTTAGTGATGGGCAGAGAATCTGTCCTGGCCTCCCAGCTGCTGGCCTAGTCACGTTTAGATTCTTCCTCTTAGTTGTTTAGTGACTTCCCTTTTCCTCCTCTATAAAATGGGCACATGCTTTGCAGAGATGGAAGGTCATAGCTCCAGCATCATGGACAGGACAGGGCTTCATATTCCAGTTGCTATTCTTTTTGCCTAAATCCATGCTCTGGTTCCCTGGCTCTTGAAATTTGGAAATACGACAGGAAGAGGGCTTCTCACGTGCCTGCCAGGTGGGTGTGGGTCCAGAGCTCCGTGACAGAGTCATTGGGGCGACTGTAGATCTTGTCCAGCAGAACAGGTGGGCCCTCATCAAAGAAGTAGGAGCACAGAGCTGAGATGGAGGAGGTGGGGCCGCCAATGTTGAACCTGAGGAGGCAAGAGGGGCGGAGCTCGCAGGGGCCTTCAGTGTCCCCTGGGGACTGGGCATTAGCTGTATCTGCCCTGCCTGTAAGTGGAGTCTGTCTTAGGAACCACCTTCACTCCCAGCTGATTTTGGTGACATTTTACAGAACCTTCCAGGTATCATAGTTCAGGTGTCCTCACATAACACTTAGCGCAGTCGTACACTCAGGGTCACCGAAAGCCTTTGGGAGTTAGGGTACTTGTGTCCACCCAAGGCCGTTTGAATTTGCTCCCCTGTGTGACCTTGCTGGGCCCATCTGGCTAGTGACATGTTGGAGGCACTTCAGGTTGGGGCCCAGGAAGGCCTGGCTGGGTTTAGGGCCAATGACCCATCATCATCCCAGTCTCCTGACTTAAGGGATGGGAGGAAGGAAGGAAGGAAATGCACCCATAGGCTGAGAGCACCTCCTTTTTAGAAACCACGGAGGGCGTGTGTAAGCAGAGAGTGGCTGAACACAGGTGTTCTTAAAGTGTTTGGGGGATTTGGGATCTTACACCCAGGTCTAGACACACAGAGCAGGGTCTGGGAAGAGTCACCTTGCGGAGAGGGGGACCAGCCTCCCTGGGGCTCAGTGCCACCTCATGGACACTCGCGCCCTGTGAACTTTGCAGGTCCCTACCCGTGTGGTTGGACAGGAGTTGCAGGAGGTTCCACTCCACCCACTCCCATGCAGCAGGGATGGGGCACATGTCCTGTGCCCACAGAGGGTGCCCACCAATGGGCCTTGGGGGTTCTGCCTACAAGTCCTCCACCTCCTGCCCTCTGCTCTATGGTGGGGTCTCTCCGGAATGAAGCCAGGGGGAAGCGGGTAGCAGAAGACATCCTTCCAACATCATGTGAGAAGCAAAACCCTCTTTTGTACCCTAGTGGTTCACTTCATATTCTTTCTGGGACCTCAGCCTTCCCATCCTCCTGACCAGAGTTTTTGGTGGGTTGCTCTTGTAGTACATGAGATACAGAATCGGTGTAGGGCTCAGCTGTCCAAACAGGCCTACTGACCTCAGTCACTCGTAGGCCCAGAAATTATTAACTCAGGATGGTTGGGGTGGGGCCTAGGAATCTGTATTCTAATGTCCTACATTTGATTCCAATGGCAGGCCATACAGTTTAACTTGAAATTTACACTGGGAACATCAGAGAAATTCAAACACTGACCAGGGATGAGTCTTGCTGGCCTCTATGATCAGAAGCTTTGGGCTGGCTGAGCTGGGCCCTGCTATCTCTTCCTGGCTACTAACCTCATGTCGATGACCATGGCATCTGTGTGCACGATCTCTTTCCAGATGTGCTGCACGAGCAGCTCGGAGACCTGTGTGAGGAGCTCGCAGTCCCCGAACATGTCGAACCTCAAGTAGCCGATGTTGTCCTCCAGCACGTTGGTGTGGAAAGAAAACTTGATCAGATCTGCAAAGACTTCTGGCGATGGGATCTGGGAGGGATGGAGGCCCAGCACAGTGTCAGGCAAGTGTAGACTGAGAGATCCACATGAGTCGTGGGGGAAAGTGACCACATAGGGGAAGACTTGGGATGTGGACCCAGGCAGGATCCATCTACCAATTGACTGGTGCATCAGCAGCCTCCAGACAGAGGAGCCTTCTGTCTGCCAGCTCCACTGCCCCCCACCATGTTGAGCTGCAGGGGCCAGGTATGGTTGCCTCTCTGTTACCTCTGAGCTCACCACATCCTCTTCAGTGTCCTATGTTTATCTTCCTCTCCTCCACTGGGAGAGGCAGAGACAACTGTAGTTAGTTTTACCAGGAGCCGGGGCTAAGCATCTGCAGTCTTACCTCTCCTTCCCAGCAGTTCTGTACAGGACTCACCATGGTGTTGGCTGCAGGGCCGCTGTCCTGTGCTTTAGCTCTGTGGCTCCTGTGCATCCTGGACTCTACCATCTCCTCTCCCGCATTGCCACTCCTCCAGCTCTTCCCCCAACTCCTTCCCACAGACCAGAACCCCTTAAGGCAGGAAAGTGAAGGAATTAATTTCCCACACTTCCAGGGGTCTCCATACAGCTTGGGGACTGCAGCTGCCTCACTGACCCCTCTCCCTACACTGTCAGTGAGAACTCCTGCAAATCCTTCCTTCCACCTGCTGAGGTAGATTGACCTCCTCCTAGTCTAGGAGATTTAGATGAGTTTCCATGAAGAGTGCTGCTCTACAGAGGTGTCCACAGACCCTGGGCATGGGAGTTGACAGAGCATGAGGGGGTGGTGGGCAGATGCATCTGATTGAAACCTAGGCATGGAAAGTCTTACCCTACGTCCCCAACCCAAGCCTCCTCTGTGACGCACCTGCATGGGGACAATCCCAGGAATGCGGTCCTTGGCATCTTCAGGGATATGGGCTGTCTTCAGGTGTGGGTCCCCAGATAGCATCTGCAGATCGGCCCCCAGCATCTCAGCGAGGGCAGCTTCCGAGGTCACCCTGGCATAGCGACTCTGCAGGCCACTTAGCTTGGCTGCCATCTTGGCCCCCAGCTCTGGGGAGGCATAGTTATCAGCCACCAGCTTTCCTGCTGTCTGCAGCACTGTGGGCACCTTGGCACGTAGGGCCACTATGTCCTGGGCTGTGGATAGGGCCTCGCTCATGGGCACAGTGATGTCAGGCTCCACGCCAGCCAGGTCCCAGGCCTCACCAGTAGTGGCACTCAGGGCCATTTGGGTGGGCATGGAAGCATATAAAGGGCTGCTGCCCACCTGGTAGATGCCCACGGAGAGTGCGCCTCCGGCCGTGGGCTCACCAATGACAGTGGCCCTCTGCAGGTCCTGCATAGTGTGAGCAAAGGCCTCTGCTGCAGAGCCACTGGTGTGGCTCATCAGGACATACAGGTCCTTGTGGGAGCCGTAGCGCTGCCCAGCAACATGGGGCAGAGTCCAAACCTCTGTGATACTTGAGGTGGCCCTGTCAAAGATGGAGTAGAGGTGCTGGCTGGGCTCTGCCTCGAAGAAATAGGAGCAGAGCAGTGGCACAGCTGAGGAGTAGCTGCCAGGGTTGTAGCGCAGGTCCACGACCAGTGCGGCTGTGTCCACCAACCTCTGCCACACCAGCTGCACCAGCTGTGGCCCAATGGCTTTTACTGTTTCCAGTTCAGCCATGGCGTCGAAACGCAGGTAGCCCAGCTGGCCCGGCAGTACCTCGGTCTTGAACAGAGCTTCGATGAAATAGGAGAGCTCCTCTGGAGAGGGAACAGCAGGGGGTGGCAGGGGCACCTCCTCAGCCACCAGCTCTTCAGGGCTGTGGAACACCAGCAGGCGGTGGTCCTCAGACACTTCCTGCAGGTCAGCTGTCAGCTGCGACGCCAGTGACTCCAGGTCCACAGCTGTGCGGTAGGCACCATGTGCCAGCTTGGCCCGCAGCAGGGCCCTCGTGCGTCCCACCACCTCGGGCCGTGCATAATGGGCTTCCAAAAGGTGGCCAGTGCCTTCCACCAGCGTGCCCAAGCTGCGGTGGAACTCCAGCACCTCCTGTGCCCTGTCCAGGGCTTCCTCAGCCAGCACAATGGCATCCGGCACCACCCCGCCACCCAGCCATCCCTCACCGTGGTTGTCAATGAAAGTGAGCACAGGCACAGTGAGCACCAGGCCTCCCTCGGGTGAGTCCAGCAGCGGCACAGTGCAGGTATGGAGCAGGCTGCCTGCTGTGATCTCGCCCACCAGTGTGGCCCAGCCCAGTGACTGCATGAGGAAGGCAAACTCTTCGGCAGCTGTGGCCGTGCGGTGGCTGGTGAGCAAGTACACCCCACGCTGATGGCCATAGCGTGAGCCTGGCAGCTCCCTGCGGCTGAAATGCTCCTGGGTGATGTTGGTGCGGCGGTCATAGGTGGTGAAGAGGCGCACGGGGCTGTCCTCGGGACCTTGGAAGTAGGACAGCATCAGGGGCACGGCAGAGGACGGCCCGCCAGGGTTGTGGCGCAGGTCCATGATGAGGTGCTCTGTGTTTTGCAGGGGCTCCCACACCTGGTGCAGCACATAAGGCCCCAGTGCCCCCAGAACGGAGTCATCTGCGAAGCTGTCAAAGCGCAGGTAGCCCACATTGCCAGGCAGCACGGACACCCGGAACACAGTGTCTACCAGGGCCTGTCGGGCAGCCTCCTCCTCGGGAACCTCAGGCTCTGCTTCTAATGGCTCATGGGATTCAGCCTCAGGCCCCAAAGAGGTTTCTTTAGGCCCCGCAGCCCTCACCAGGAGCCTGGGGTCCTCAGATACAGCCTGCAGGCCGCTGTTGAGCTTGGTGACCAGGTCCTCCTCAGAGACCACAGTAGAATAGTCCATGCTAGACAGGCGGTGTAGCAGGGCCGGCACACGGTCGACCAGGGTGTAGTACTCCTGCAGGGCCTCCTGCAGGCGGTGCACAACCCCTGGCAGGGCGCGACGCAGGGTGAGGATGGCCAGCGCCTTCTCCAGGGCCTGCTCAGCTGGGGTGCTGACGTACGGCAGCACCCCACTGCCCTCCCATGTCTGACTGCCTCCGCTCAGGGGGCCCAGTGACCTGGACACGGGCACAGTGAGGAAAAAGTTGGACTGGCCAATCCTCAGCTTCTGAAGGTCCAGGGCACCCCCCTCCGTGCGCTCACCCACCACGATGGCCCTGCGCATCTGCTTGAGAATGTAGGCGATGTCCTCAGCCACGCCTCCAGTGCGGCCACTGGTGAGGACCACCACATCCTTCTCAGCACCGTACCGCTCTCCCAAGACCTGCGGCAAGGTCCAGATCTCCGTGGTGGTGTTTGAGGGGCGATCGTAGATGGTGTCCACATGCAGAACTGTGTTTCCAGGGTGCAGGTAGGAGATGACATAGGGGATGCCAGAGACGTGGCCGCTGGTGCACTGCCGGAGATCCAGCACCAGGGCAGAGGTACCCATGAGCTGCTTCCACACATGGTTCACCAGGAAGCCACCCAGCCTGCTTAGCACCTCCTGGCCGGGGAGGTCATCCACGCGCAGGTAGCCTACGTTGCCTTCCAGGACCTCGTGGCGGACGCTTTTCTGTAACCCGGCCAGCAGCTCCTCCTGGCTGAGGTTGGTGGGTGCTGGGGCTTGATGCTGGCTCTCCACAGTGCTGGGCTCATAGGAAATGATCAGGCGCGGGTCATTCAGTGAGCTCTGTACTCCATCCGTCAGCACATGAGCCAGCGTCTGAGGGTCAGAGATGGCTAGAATCTCCCGGCTCTTCATGGCCTGCTCGATGGCGGCCTGCATTCCCATAAGGTTCTCTGGGAAGCAGTAGTTGTCCAAGAGGACCTTGGCCATGTCCATCACCAGACTGGGCTGAAACAGGTGCGTGGGGCTTGCGAAGTCACATAGCAGCACTGACAGGAGCAGGGCCCATTCTGTCATGATGGAGACCTGGGGAAGCTGGGGCCTGGACCCAAGCCCTTGATTGTGTGCCAGGCTGCGACCCTGATGCCTGTGGCTGCCTTTCTCCCTTGTCCTTCTCAGTGAGCTGACAGAAGGTCTGGGGCTGAATGCAGAGTTGGGGCGAGGAGGCTTCCCTCCCTGGTAAGCCTTTAATCCTGTCTAATACAAGCACATCAGCTGGAGGCTGGGAAAAGGGGCCAGGTGCTGTGACCCGGAAGGAACATGGCTGCTGCTCTTGCTGAGCCATCCCTGCATGGAGGGACAAGCATAAGCACAGTTGGTTCTGAGTCCCTGTCACATGTCAGCCACTGTGAGGAAGCTCACCAGAGCCTTGCAAAGGGGAGTGAATTGCCCCAAGTGAAGAGTGCTTCCTCGCTGCTCTGGGAGCCTGTGGCCCAGACTCAGGTAGACTTTGTCAGACACCCAGTTCCGCCACTGCTTAGGGATCACATGTTTCCCTCGTTTGGTTGATTATATGGGAAAATGTGTGCAGACTACTTCAGAGCGCCCAGCAAACAGGAAGCACTGCTGTGCTGGTAAGTAGCTGATATCATGTTTATAGCCAAACCAACAGGCCAGACCATTTGTAGCTAATGGGATCCAACCTTTCAGGTGTGGCTGTAGAAGTTGAGTCTGAACCTAAAGGCTTGGTGTTCATGCTCACGGCCTGCTACTGCTTCACAGCTTCTCAATGGCAGGATGAAACATCTGGTCCTGAACATAAGGTATGGCCGGTGGGAGGGGGCCCAGGTCTGGACCTCAGGTGGGTCCAGATGAGATGAGATGGGACCTGGGAGCTCATCCTGCTAGATATGGAGACCCTTGCTGGCTCAGGGCTCAGCCACTGCCTGCAGCTTGCAGGGAGGAGTGTGTGTTGGAGGATGTGGGGCTTTGGTCCGAGGCCAACCTCTGGCACAGAGCTGGACTCTGAGCCTCCTGGCTCCTGCTGCTTCTTCTGGAGGCGATGTGAGCCTTGCATCTGACCTGCCAAGGTATCCACAAGGCCCAGCATGGGCCACAACCTAGAGCACAGTCCTCTTATTTAGTCCACAAAAGAGCCACAGCTCAGAACAGAATGCAGCCAGGCAACAGCGGCAGCGAGGAGCACTTCTGGCTGCCACCTTCCTGGCCCCTCTGAGATGTATCCAGCACCACTTCATGGGCTGAGAGGTCAGCAGGTGGAACCCACATGCAATTCAACTGGAAACAGTGGTCTTGGGGAGATGGGGGGCTTCCTCATCACGATTGGCTGCCATGATCTGCTCTCTGAAATCATTCTCTGAGGATGTTTACCAAGTGGTTGATGAAGGCCAATGAGGTCAATTAGCTAAAACAAACATATTTTTAGCTCATTAGGATTTGTTTAAAGCCCAAGTGACATATGGTCACATCGCTCTACCACTGGCAGCCAACGCGATGAGCCTGAGTTACTGAAAGAATAAGGCTGGGCTGGGTGTGCAGATGCCTCTGGGACAGCACATCTGTTGGGTGCCCTTTCCCATGCCTCCTGGGAAACCCCAACTGCAGCCTGAGGGTGCAATCCTCTGAGGCTTTCCTCTGTTCTTGCAGGAACCCAGTCCAAGCCCTGGGGCAGAGGGTGGCCAGGATTAAGGCTGCTGGGGACTATGTGATAGATGTAGTGTCAGGCTGTGACATCCAGAGACATGGCTGTGGTTCATGTACATGGCTCAGCTTTCAGGAGGAGGTGAGCAAAAGAACTGAAATCTGTCACGAGTTCTTGAGGTGCCTAAGCAGGGCAACACTTCCTCCTGTAGGTATAGCCAAGGCAAGAGGGAGGCCATGTTTTGTTCCCAGAGTTCTCAGACTCTCTAGGAACCTTCAATATGCTGGTCTGTAAGTGGGTACATGTGAATAGGAGACAGCTGACTGCCTTGGGCCCTCCTGGACTTCCTGGGAAGTCCCCTGGGGGCCTGGCTTTACATTTGGAATGGACTGGAAGTGGCCTGTGGGTGTGGGAAGAACTGTCCAGAGCACAGGCTCAGGAGCTACCCTGAGACCTCACTGCTTTCTGGGGTGGGTGGGACCTTGATTAGGTCACACAGGTCTTCCTTAGCTGATGGGGCTACTCTGGGCTGCGTCTCCTACAGAGCGAAGTGGGTTGTGGGAAGATCCAGGTACCACTGGAGGATTCTGTGTGAGGCTGCCAGTAGCTTGAGGAGGAAGTGATCCCAGGCCCAGAGGCCCTGAGTGGCAGCTTGGCCCTGCCTGTGATCGGAGACTGGGGAGATGCCCTGGGGTGACCAGTGCTTCTAGACCCTAAACCCTCCATCAGCTCTGCATATGTCTAGAGGAATTCCTAGTCCTTCTCCTAAGCATAGATGGAAAAGGAGACACGGGGTATCAAGTATGCTGCCAGGGATGGGAGGGAACAAGGGCAGAGCTTGAGCAGCCCAATGACTGGCTCAGTACTGATGGATGCTCCAAAGCCAAAGGCCTGCCCGTCTGTCCATTGTTGGGTATGAGTTTTCCTCCATGGCTCACAAGGAAAGAAGCACAGTTAACAGATAAACCTCTCACCTCGAGGTCTGAGGCCTTTAGAGCAGTCACCAGTTCCTGAAACGGGCAGCCCTACCTAGAGGTGGGTCAGGTTTTTCCTATAGCAGGGTGAGGGTACTTTGCTTGGCCAAATTTGAGCAGTGGGAAAGTGATCGATGACGTAGAGTGTGCCTAAGGAGAGTCACATGGAGAGAAAACATTCTCTCAGGCTTTCACAGAGAGCACATTGGCCAAGCACTGGCCGTGACTCATCCACATGGCCGACACTGACAAAAGTTCTACAATCTGAGGTACAGGATCTCAGGATAAATCCTGAGGGGATTTCACTGACCTTATCAGAGCTAAAAGCTACAACTCTTGTTGCATAGATCCTGCTTTACCTTGGTCTTAACCATCCAGCAGAAAAGTATGAAGACGAAATATAAGAGGTAAAGATATGTTGTTATGTTGAGCTGTAGGAGACTCAGGTCAACAATTTCTGACATTGCCAGTTAAACAGAAGACCCAATGCTATTATGGGCTACTGGACTCTTTTAGAATATTTTGCTGAGTTTACACACCTATAATATTCAACTGACAGAGCTAAATAAAAAAGGGATACAGACGAATGTCCATTTTGTATCTGTGTATTCAAAATGGTTAGGATAAATATATAGTTACATTCTCTTAATGAATAGAGGGATTTGTTCTAATAGTGTTTGTAAATAGGATATCATGTCTGCATCTTGTACAGCAAATAACCACCGGAAGAGAGTATGCAATGTGTTAATTATTGGAACTGCCCTACCAATTTGATTTGAAACTGTCTCATTGCTATTTATTTCTCAATAAAATTATGGAAAGAAAAAAGAAAAGAAATAAAAATTGAGCAGTGGCTTAGGACCACCCCTGGGGATATCAATGTCATACAGGTGGCGTCCACGGCTGTCTGTAATTGGTGGAGCTTGAATTTCATTTCTCTTTAAATTATCCACTTCTAGGAAATGCGTCTGAGTCAGGTTTTGCCTTATTTACCTAGGAAGCCAGGGCCGTAGAGCTGCCTCTCTCTAACTCCCGAAGATTATTTTTACATTCCCTGGCTAGAGGCTCCTGTTGAGCTTCGCAGCACTTTGCTGGGCTTGCCTGTCTCTGTAGCCCCTTCTCTCATCCTCAAGTGCATGTGTTTTCAGATGCTTTTAAATAAATAAGCCTTGCTTGTATTTCATCTTAATACTTTCATGTTGTACTTTTTATTTTTCTAATTAGAAGAGTCAAACATTCATTTTCACAAAACTGTGTGAGCAATTTTTTCTCAAGGCTTTTCCTTCACTCTAGGCTTCTGTTGGCAGCAAAGCAATAACCCTGACCATGTGTCCACGCTGCCTGCTGCTGTGACCAGCACAGGTAGGTTCGCCATACATCCTTCCTTCCTGTACATTCCCGGTGACACAACCAGTGAGTCTCACTACTCACAAACATGAGCACACATGTTCTTCTGGTTCAAGGTGGGACTTTAACCTTATCCTTTTCGTGGGTGTGTAGCAGTTCTTGATGAGGCATTGCTCCATTTTCCTGGTCTACAGTTTGAGCCCTAGAACTCACATGTATAAAATTTGACCCTCAAAGTTATAAGCTAGAAGTATTTGGAGCTGCAGCCTCTCAGGGGTCTTCAGGGTTAGATGGAGTTGTGAGGGTGGGGCCCCCATCCCAGCAGCTGTGGCTTTCTGAGAATGAGAGGAGAAGCTTCAGCTGGTAGGTGTGCTCTGCCTCAGGGGTCCTGGAGGCAAGGGAGCATCTGGCTCAGAAACAGAGGCCGAAGCAGAGGCGAGAGGCATGAACTCACAGACAGAAGCTTTCATGGAGCCTTAGGCAGAAGAAGGGGCTGGTGGCAGACAGTGACCAGGCTGTCTGTGCCAGGGAAGGAAGGTGACCAGCTTTTGGGGGCTGCTGGCTTCCCATGGGGCCATGAGTACAGGGGTTCTCGTCAACCTTTCCTGTCTGTTTTAAGGAATTTCTTCCTCATGTATGATAGGGACAAGTAAGTAGCCTGCTGGTGCTAGAGATCTCAGGCTGTCACCATGCTTGTCACAGTTCCTGGTGGAGGGTGGGAAAGACCTCACACATGGCACGCCTTGCAGGGGGAGGAGGGTGAGAGACACATCTGTCTTTAAGTGGGTAACAGGCTACAGATTTGGCCCTGACAGCCATGTTTGTCTCTTGTCCCCATGAGCGTCTCTATCCCACTGCCAAGTTCTGATACAGGAAAGTTCTCAGAACTAGTGCTTTTTGATTCTATATAAAATTCTCAAACATGGGCTTCCTGGTTTTGGGTTCAGGAGATGGATACTTTTTTTCTTTATTATATTTTTTCAGTAACTTTTAAATTCTATAACACGTATGCATTTTCACAACTTAATTGATGCATAATTAACCTAGACTAAGTGGCCCATCTGTGAAACGCACACTTTGCTACGATGTGACCTGTGTACACATCATGAGACCATGGGCACAAGCAGAACGTAGATTATGATCACCACCAAGTTTTCCTGGAGCTTCTACGTTGTCCCATCCCTCTAGGCTGTTGAACAATCCATTATTTTTATTTTCATTGCTGTATAATGTTCCATTTGTACAGCCATAACCAGGATGTCCCACCCACTCGCCTGGCCATAGACCCCCAGGGTGTCTAAGTACAGGACTGTAACAAACAGAACTGGTAGGAATATTGGCATGTATATCTTTGTGTAGATTAGTATTTTTTTTTCTGGGAATGTACACAAGATAGGATTGTGTGCTTAGCATTTTAAGAAAGTTCTTAGGTGTTTCATGAAAATTTAAATTTGTACCAGCAGCACACAAGACTTCTGTCTCTTCTACATGGCCACCCAGGGTCAGACTTGTTGACCTTGACCACCCTAATAAGTTTGTTGAGATTTTAAGTTGCATTTGATAACTTATGGTGGCAGCGCTATTTTTGTGTTAACTCGGTACCTCTGCCCTGGTGAAATGTCTGTTTGAATCTTTTTTCCCTTTTGAGACTGAATGCTTTCATTAAATTACTCTCCTATTATTGATTTTAGATAGTTTTGGTCTTTTCATTATGAAAAATATATTTTCTGAATATGAAGACCTTCCATATTTAATCCATGTTTTCAGTCTTTGGATTGGAACCCATGGTCACTGCAGAGATCTACAGCTCAATCCGTCTATGTACCGTCTATTGCGTGCTAGCTGCTATGCACTATGTGCTATCTGTCTGTCTGTCTGTCTGTCTGTCTGTCTGTCTGTCTGTCTGTCTATTATCTACCATCTTCACTATTTACTACAATTGTCTCTCATCTATCTATCTATCTATCTATCTATCTATCTATCTATCTATCTATCTATCCATCCATCTGTCTATCCATCTATCATCTATTTTGTGAGAGAGGATCTTGTTAAGTTGCGAAGTTGCCCAGGCTGACCTTGAACTTGCAGTCCTCCTGCCTCAGCGACCCCCAGAGTACTGGGATTTCAGATGTGCACCACCATCTTTAGCTTTTAATCTGTTTTTTTAAAACAGAGACTAAGAGCCAGAAATCCCGTCAAGGTGTATGAGCATCTGAGGCTCTTCAAGGACCCCTCATCTATCCATCGGCTCTGCGTTCCTCTGGTCAGAACACTCTTTTAGGAACAACAGCCCTGTCTGCTGCTGAGAGCTCAGAGGGTACTGGGGTGGGATGAGCTGCCTTGGGGTTTGGACCTTGGTGAGGTGGCAGCTGAATGAGGAGCCGAGGGGTGGTTGGGAAGCTCCAGGTCTCTCCTTTTGTGCTCTGTCTTGCACATGTGACTGCTTCAGTTTGTCCTGAGCCAAGGACCACACAGACCCTCAGGGGGCAGGCAGGAGAAGAGGCTCACGTCCTCACTCCTGAGGACCCATGGCCACAGCAGTACGAGAGACCAGGTGGCAACTCCTCAGCCAGGCCTGTGACAGCTGTGTGACACAATCCTGTGCCCACACAGAGCAGAGCCAGGGGGCGGAAGTAGGATTGGGATAGACTGAACTCTAGGACCCCTTACAACATGGGCAAGGGTAGGCTGGGGAAGCCTGGAAGGTGGGCAGGACAGTGTGGAGGGGACAGAAGAGAGGGAGGCTGTGAGCAGAGTGTGGTGAAGGGGCCTGGAGGCGTTGTGAGGCCCAGACCCTGTGGGGTGACCTACAGCTATTTCCATGTCCTAATGAGAGCTGGGCTGCCCTCCTCTGGCACAGGCAGAGGTAAAGCGAGGTGGGCACAGCTGTCCCTGTCACACACAGCTGCTCACACCCCTACCCACACACACAGTCTTGTGTGCAGTCATGTCCACTCAGCCCATGTGCACACTGCCTGTGTGTCCTCTTTGTCCCCAACCCAGTAAAGCACAGTGAAGCTCCGGGCTCCTGGACAGGCAGAGGTGGGTGCCCTCAGACTGGCCTAACTTTCAAGAAAGCCCTCACGTTAGCATTTCGCTTTATTTCCAAGTGATGCTTCACACAGACACAGAAACGCACACCCTGAGTTGCCACCTGGGCTTGGGGACAGTTTTTCCTCGGCCCAGTGGTGATAGTAGAAGGCTCTTGGCCCTAGGCCTGGCCTCAGTGCTCAGGCCTCCAACACTGGTGGCTCTTCTAGTGCAGAGGCAGTGGCTGACATGCACGGGACACACAGGCAGCCCCAGCCCTTGTGCCGCACAGACCTGGAAAGACAGGTCGCCCACCACCAGAGCAGCCCTGTTCTGGCATACTGCCTGGCAGGAAGCAGGCATTGGCACTGTCTTCAACTCTAAGAATTGAACTCCATGGTTTACTTTACTTTTGTGTTAAAGTTGCCCATTTATTCCATGTAAACATTTACCACAGTGATTTTTTTCTTCCTGTGCTGGGCTTCCACAGGGAGGGAAGAGGCAGGTAACCCTCCATGGCTCTCAGCCTCTCCTTCATGCTACGCAGGCCCCTGTGTGGCAGGAGGGCAGAGGGCAGGAAGGACACTGAGAAGGTGGATATCGTGGGGACAGGACCTGTGTGACTCCAGAAACATGTGGGCAAGGGTGACAAGACCAGGGGCCTTCAAAGCCAGGGGACCTGGGCCCAGAAAGCTGGACATCTTACCCCTTGACTGCAAGTCTCTAAGGAGTAAAAATAAGGACATTTCAAATACCAAATTAAGGGCATATTTAAATCCAACAAATCCAAACCTTTGCCCTGCCTTCTGTCCTTGGACAGGGGATGCATGACTTCCTTACATTGGTCAGTCGGGCAGGCTGAGTTAGGTTACCACAGAGGTTCGGTTCACTAGCTGTCCCCTGTAGACTGTCACAAAGTGAAGGCCAGGGACCCTAGTGTTCCTCTGTGAAGCCCTGTCCTGTGCACGGCACCAGTGTCACAGTGGCCTTGGCACAGGCCGTGTCAGAAGACTGTTGTCCTGAAGTCATTCTTTGCAGCCGGCAGCTGGGCTTGGGGACAGTTTTTCCTTGGCCCAGTGGTGATAGTAGAAGGCTCTTGGCCCTAGGCCTGGCCTCAGTGCTCAGGCCTCCGGCACTGGTGGCTCTTCTAGTGCAGAGGCAGTGGCTGACATGCACGGGACACACAGGCAGCCCCAGCCTTTGGTGCTGCACAGACCTGGACAGGGGTACTCGCCGGTCTGCTGGCTTTTGGTTTCTGCGACTGTAAGTCAAAGGTCCTGATGCTTGTCCTGTTCTCCTTCTCTGTCCATAGTTCTCGTGTCCCTTCACCAGGGGTAGAGCCCAGGGAAGGGTGCTTTAGTGGTGCCACAAGAGAGACGGCACTCTCGCTTCCTTTTACCAGGCTGGTCCCCAGAGTCACGTAGCCCTGTTGTTCCCCAGGACACAGGGCCTCTCCCCAGCAAGCCCTGCCCTCCTGGCCCCCATGCAGGGGCTACCTGCACCCACACTCAGCCACGCTCATGCCCTCATAGTGGTATTTGAGGGTGGGCACCCCCATGTCATCCTTGTAGAGGATGGAGATGGGGCTCAGTTTTGTGGGGACACAGCAGGCCTTGCCCACCTTCTTGGGGTGCTTGAGGTGCACCAGGGTCTGCACGATGGCGTGTTTCGTTGGTGTCAAGTCATCGCTCAGGGGGAAGAAACAGCCACCTTTACACTCGTAGGCGTCATACTCCTTGGGTGCAATGATCCAGCTGTCCCAGCCGATGTCCTTGAATTGCACACGCAGGGAGGTCTTCTGACAGTGGCTGCCAGCCCCGATGCTCCGCTTGTGTCTGGCTGACAATGACCCCACCGCGGAGTGACCTGCCACGACCCCCTCCGCTCCCCCCTCTTCCTCTTCCTCCCTGTGGCCTTCGCCCGACTCCCCGTAGCTACTCCTGGGTGTCTTTTGGAGCACGGTCTCCTGCTCATGGCCGATCATCTCCCTGAGCTCCAGTCTGGTCTCCTTGGTCCCGTTGCTCCGGTCATTGGAGAAGACGACAAAGAAGGGCAGATTTTTGGAACCTGGGGGGACACTGATGTCCAGCGTGTCGCAGCCCTTCCGGCAGCTTTCTACCATCACTTCCAGCTTGTTTTTGCTCCTGGAGGAGTCTGCCCTGACCCACCGCTTCACGGCACTAGACACTTCCAAGGTCTCCCAGCCCTCTCCCCGGATGTCCTGGGATACCAGGAAGGTCCTGGTCTCTGCAGCACCATCCCAGGCGTCTTCTCCATCCAGGACATCATAGATGACCATGTTTCCTTCCAACCCATGGAGGGCGTCCATGTGATTTTGACAGGAAACGTAGAGTCGGAGCTCAGCCCTGGTGATCTGCTCATGCCTGGGGATGGAGATGTTAAAGAGCAGGATGTGCTTCTGGAAGGGGAAGTCTTTGGTGGCAGCTGTTGAGATGGCATCTGAAACGCAAAGACATAAGATGGGCTTGGCCGGAGCACCCACTCTGCAGACCCCAAAGCAGAGCCTCCTGGCTTGGATGAAGGACTTGTGGGAGGACAGTTTTTGTCTCCGTTATCTCTATTTAGTTTGCTTTAAGCTGTTAGCAGAAAGGCATTTAGATTGTTCCTTTAGGATCTTCCAAGGGAAAGCTGAAGCAACAGCTTGAGTAGGGGACGACAGTCCCCATGGTCTGTTGAGCAGCTACCGCCTGGCTGGCATTATGCTGAGAACTTTCTTTCTTTCTTTCTTTCTTTCTTTCTTTCTTTCTTTCTTTCTTTCTTTCTTTCTTTCTGTCTGTCTGTCTGTCTGTCTGTCTGTCTGTCTGTCTGTATTTTAGGGAAAGGTCTATAAGGTGTTCAAGCTCTCACTACTAGATTAGACTCATAGTGATCCACCTGTTTTACAGCCTCTCAAGAGCTGGGATTACAGGCATGCGCCACCATGCCCAGTCTCAATTGATGTCTCAGTGTGCCCTGCGGGATCAAACCCTTAGCCCCGTGCCTGCTTGCAGGAGTTTTAATCCACTCAGCTATTTGGCTGGCCCTTATGCTGAGAGCTTTGCATATTATTTTTTACACTTATCACTGGGGGAATCTAGTAATTATCTCACTTTTACAGACAGGAAGATGGAGACTCAAGGCCTTCAGTTGCCAAAATGCACACAACTGGGGGTCTGATCAGCCAAGAAAACCACAAAGCACTAGCAGTCTTAGTGTGAGGATCCCAAGGGTATACATTTAAAGGACAGACACTGGTTGGGGACTGCAAAACCATGCAGACATCATTAGCCTCTAATCCATGCAGACATCATTTGGAATTGTAACCTTCAAGCAAAGTGAAAAGTGGGTAGTTTTGTTATGGAAGCTGAGGTTAATGAGGCTTTTTTCTTTTCAGCGGTTTAATTCTCCCTCTGCTTCTCATTTCTCCTAAGCTGACACCTGGCTATGAAGAGAACTGGGCTGGTTTTGAGAGTTCCAGCCAACCCTCATCCTCGGGCATGCAGTCCACAGCCCCAGTGGAGCCTGATATTTCGAGTAGTGCCAAACCACGTACTCTCTCTGTTCTCCCTGCCATGCATGCTTATGAGATCTACTGTCTACACTAGGGGCTGGGGAGATAGCTCAGCAGCATAAGCACCTGCCTGGCAAGTACAAGGTCCTGAGTTTGAACTCTGGTACCAAAAAAAGGAAAGAAAAAAAATGTCTAGATTAGGCTTAGTAAGAGATTCATAGTGATTACAGGAAAATAGAATAATGGGACAATGTAGTGTAATGCCCGTCATTCAGAACATAGGAATTGCCTGTTCTGGAGTTTTCCATTTAATGTGCTGACTGAACAGAACCTTGGAAGGCATCCAGAGCTGGAGTGCTCTGTGTAAGAAGCAGGGGCCTTGTGTTCCACAGTGACTGATCATGTAGGCTGAGGAGCCCAGCCCAGAAAGCTGACCCTGCCTCACCCCACATGGGGCTCATTACCTTGCAAAACGCTGTCTCTCTGCCTCGCTTTCCTCTTCCATCCTACCTGCCTCTAGCATGGGTGTGAAGCTTATCTAGGTGCACACAGAGCTTCAGTGGCAGTCCCCAGCTCATAGCAGAGGCTCAGTTAATCCGTCTGTGCCCTCCTGACCTAGGCACGGCCCCTGCACACATGAAACACACACACACACACACACACACACACACACACACACACACGGCCTCTCCACCCACTCCCTGGGTCCTCTCGCCCAGTGCAGTGCCCAGCTCAGCTCCTGGATGGGGTGTCCTACCCCTCGGGTGATGCACTGGGACTTCGCCCTTGTGACTCCATGTACTCTGAATGTGGCATGGCTTCATAGTGCTGAGGGACCATGGTCAGACACCTAGAAAACACCTTTCCTCAGCCTCGTCAGGTGGAGAACGGGACTAGGTCAGCATAGTGCCTCAGCTCGAACACCCTGTGCTGGACTCAGCATGCCACCTGCTTAGGCCTCTGGGATCTGATAACTCAGATGCTGACCAAGAGAGGTCACAGATGTGTGCCCTAGGCATACTGTGGATTGTATTTAATAAAAAAAAAAAGGCAGAGACTTAAAAATCAGGCAAGTTCATGTAAAATACAGATTTTCTCCTTTTCGGCAGTCGTGTATTGTGAGGTTAGTGGTTTTAAAAGGACTTGAGCTCTCTGCCTCCCTGGTGGGTGTGTTGGCTTGGGGCATGTGCAGGTCTGATGCCCAGTGGGGTAGAGGGCCCACGCTTGAGTCCTTGACTGGGACTCTAATGCAGATGTTGCTGACAATCGTCAGGGCCTGGTGGCGTCTGGTTATTAACTTCTCACTTGCACCTGGCCTGGGGGAGCTCCCTGCACCTGCGCACTGGGCCACACTGTCCCGAACTCATTTCTTCTGTCTCTCCCAGGCTAACGAGTCAGTGGACTCAGGTCAAGTCAGTATTTCCTTCTAGTCTTCCTAAGTCAAGGAATTTCATAGTTAGAAAAATAAGGTGGCTTTCTTCCAACACACATCTGTCCAAAGGTTTTATCATTTGGGTTTTAAAAGCTCTGCCTAGGGAGGAGCAAGTCTTCTTCCAAAGTTTAAAAATGCACTGATTAGTTGTGTGAGAAGTAAGTTGTTTCTGAGGTGGAAGGAGCAGGAAGGGAGGCAAGATGGAGGAAAGAGGAGCTGAGAGAGGAGGGCAGGAAGAGAAGGCAAAGAGGAAAGTGAGCAAAGAGGAAGGGGAGAAGAAAGAAGGAGGGAGAAAGAGAACAGTAGGCGAGGGCGGGGCTGGCACCCCGGGCACTGAGGCCTTCCGAGGCCTTCGGTGCTGTCTGTGGTTGGGGACAGAGTTTTCTGCTAGAACCTTTGAGATGCTGTCCAGGCCCTAGGACTTGCACAGCCCCACAGGGAAGCCATTGGCCACACATAACTATTGGCGACTTAAGCAAAGAGCTACATTTTCTTTTTATGTCTTTGCAATTAATTTCAGTGGGAGCTTTTCAGATTGCATGTGGTCCTACACCACCTCACTAGGCAGGGCTACTCCAGCCAGTGTGTTGTCCCCACCCCCCTTAGGCCCCAGCTGTACCTTCCACACTGAAGCTGCGCACGATGTTGGAGGCTGGGGTGGACGACTTGTCAGAGGTGTACCTGTAGTATAGGTCAATCATGTACTGTGGCGGCTCCAGCTTGGTCTTGTCCTGGGAGGGGACGCCACTCAGGTTGAGGCTGCGCAGGAAGTCCACCTTCATGTTCTCCAGGAGCACTGTCATGTCCACGGTGCCTTCCTGCCGCCCACTGCCAGGCTCCCCTGGCAATGTCTGCCACCGGCTCTCCAATGGCCTCCCTTGCACAGGGTAGGCCAGCAGGGACAGCACGAGCAGGGCCACCCACAGAGCCCCAGGAGACATCTCAGTCCCTGGGGAGGAGGCCGCCGGGCTGTGGTGGTGGTGGCGGTGAGTTACTGGGTGCTGGAAGGATCCAGGGAGCGCTGGGCTTGCACCATCCTGCTGACTGATCTGCAGGGAGCGCCCGGCCAGCACAGGCTCGCCCTGCATCCTGGACTGTCCACCACTTGTTCTTATCTGGCTGCAGTGCTGCACCAGGCCGTTATCTAAGGCAGCGCTTGTTAATGAAGGCTCTATAAACATCCGAGACTTGAGCCAGCACACAGGCCTGTGGGAAGGACAAGGCTGACTGTAAAGGATCTGTGTTACACTGGGTTATCTTTTGCTAATTAGGAACCTTGCTCATTTCCTTGTCAGCTCTGTTGGGAAGGCTCTGCAGATGGGTGAAAGGCACCCCTCTCCTGGGCCATGAATCAAGGAATCCAAGAACCAGGACTGAAAATACTGAGAACACATTACAACTGTGCTGGAGGTGCTTTCACTAACAGCTCCACCTCAAGATAAAGATGGAATTCCTGTACAGGAGGATAAGCAACATACTAGCATTGCCTGATCAGTGTCCCTGGCCCAATAAGCTTAAAGAGGCATCAGTCACCCAGTGGGTGACCAGGACCTCCTGGCTGATCTCTTCCACAAAAGGTCCCCATTCTTTCTATTTGCGCTTGCTGCGGGACCTGCCTCCCCATTGGATCCATGTTACCTCAGCAGCTATACCTGTAATCCTATTGGTTGACAGTAGTTTTGTCCCACTTTGTATCCTGGGGAGGAGGCTGCTGGGCTGCCACCTTGTAGTTTTGTACCTTCCTCATGACCTCACTCTTAAAACTCCCTCTGTAAAGTACATCCCACTCGAGTCCATTCTGTCTCTCAGGAGATGTATCTGTTCCCCTCGGTGAATTTGTCCTACCCTTAGCCTCCTTTGTTCCCCAGAATTCAGTTTTCTATTTTGGGGAGCACGAACTTGGTTCATCTAATATCCAGAAGGTTGGGAGTTACATTATTTCCTCTTTATCATTTAGAAGCCTTCTATTTTTTTTTTTTTTTTTTTTACTGATTTTGATGGTCAAAATTCTAATTAGGTAAAATTTTGTTCCCCAGAATTCAGTTTTCTATTTTGGGGA